TATGCAGGTTCGCACCCAATGGGGGTGTAAAATCCATTAGAACCTAGTCAATATGCAGGTTCGCACCCAATGGGGGTGTAAAATCCATTAGGACCTAGTCAATATGCAGGTTCGCACCCAGTGGGGGTGTAAAATCCACTAGAACCTAGTCAATATGCGGGTTCACACCAAGTGGAGGTGTAAAAACCACTAGAATCTAGCAAAAATGCAGATTCATACCAGGTGGAAGAATAAACCCACCAAAACCTTATAAAATAAGGTTTATACCAGATGAGGGTAGGTACTCATCAAAACTTAGCAAAATGCCTCGGGTAGAGTAAAAATACTCACCTGAAACATTACAAAAAACGGGTGCAAAGACTTGCTTCTATTAGAGGATAGTTCAGTGTTGAGCACCTCAGAAGTAAGTACCCACAAGAGTTTAGCAAAATGCAAACTCATACCGGGTGAGGGTAGGTACTCACCAAAACCTTGTAAAACAAGGTTCATACCTAGTGGGGGTAGGTACTCACAGAAGTCTAGTAAAATACAGACTTATACCAGGTGAGGGTAAGTACTCATCAGGGCTTTATGAAAGGAGGCTCAAACCAGATAGGGGTTGGTACCTATCAAAATATTTATCATTCGGAGGATCAGCAAAGGAGCAGCATCCGAAGGATAACCGGGCAAAAGGGTTAACTCCTTCCCCTACCAACTAACTTTGTCGGTATATTAAACCAACAAATTAGTTTGGCAGGTGAAGGGGGGGCAGCTGTAGACCCCTAATTTTGCCCGACCTCTCAAATAAAAACTAGGGGAACTTCACACAAAGACAAAGATCACCTGGCTTCCCAAATAAAAGATAAGAAGACTTCTCGCAATAAGACGGAGGTCACCCATCCACACAATAAAGGCAAAGGAGACTTCCTACACAGAGATAAAGCTCGCCCGGCACTTTAATAAAGGCCAAGAAGACTTCCTACATGAAGATAAAGCTTCAACGGACACACATCGGCATCAATCTACGTCCGAAAAAGGAAAGGAAAGCTTCCCGGGGGTCCCAAAACGCGAAAACTGGACTAAACAGGCCGAGACCACCGTCCCAGAGTTGGGACGACCGTCCCAACTATCCCTGTGCAAGTGGGACGCGCGTCCCAAACTTGGGACGGCCGTCCCAAACCCCAGGGGGTCTCAGCCTTTGTTAAATTGCATTTGGGACGGCCATCCCAACCCAGACTGGCCGTCCCAGATTGGCACAACGTGGAAAACGCGTTTGGGACGGCCGTCCCAACCCAGACGGCCATCCCAAAGTTCCAGGGCGAAAAATGCTATAAATAGGAGCCTCATTTGTCTCATTCCACACACCAGACAACTCAGAAGACTTGTCTACTTCTCTCCCTCTCTCGAATGATCTTTCTGATTGCCTTTAGAAGGTAACAATCAGTTAAGGAATTTGTATTCCGGCATTCGATTCTTCTAGAAAATTTAGTCGAGTCGAGTATGTAATCGAGAGGAGAGTCATTGTAGAGCGAGGGACTGCTGAAAAGCGTCCTTATTGAAACAGAGTTGATATATAAAGCTTGCTACGGAGGTTCTTCTCAAATCTCTTCTCCTTTACTGCTTTATTTATTGCATCATAAAATGTAAATAAAATCATGTAGATAGCCATATTTACTATACGAATAAAATAAGGGTAACTGCGTAATTTCTCATAATCTTCACTTAATGAATTAATCCGTCATAGGGAACCCGAAAGGGGCGTTGTGGGGTGCTAACACCTTCCCCACACGTAACTAACTCCCTTACCCAACTCTGGTTATAATGGCCAAGTTGGTTTTTATTAAAATCAACGCCTTTTTTTTCCTTTTCCAATGTTTCCGGTCAAAACATTGGTGGCGACTCCAAAAGAACCCCTTTTCGAAAACCTTGCTTTTATTAGAGGACAGTTCAGTGTTGAGCGCCTCAGAAGCAATGAACACAATTTTAACAAAAAACGCGAGTCTCAACCATCTCTTCGCGACCGCTCGCATTAACGTTCGAGATGTCCCAGGACGTCGGAACGGACGGCGGCGACATTGTTTAGCCATCCGGAATTGCCGGGGATTCTGTGTTTTTGGCTTTTCTATTTAGCCATCCGGTCTTGCCGGGGATTCTTTGTTTTTGGCTTTTCTGTTTAGCCACCCGACATGTTGATTGTCGGGGATGATTTGTTGGTTGCCTTTTATTTGGGCAGGAATCCATTGGGGATTTTTTTTTATTGTGCCTCTTTATGTAGGCAGATGCTCCACTATTTGAGGCTTTATGCTTTGGGCTTGTATTGCCCCTTGCATAGGTCGATTTCCCGTCTCTTGGGGATATTGGCTCTTTGCTTGCCTCTGAGTAGGCAGAGGCTTCATTGGAAGTGAAGGCTTTGCATTCCACTGGGGACATCCATATTGGGCGTTATAGGTAATTAACTCCCTGAGGATATAAATTTGTAGTTTTGCCTTTGCTGATAGGCTCACTGGGGATAGTTCTTTCATTTTGATGATCCACCGGGGATTTGATTGCTTTCCTGGAGATCTATTTTGACTTGCCCCCTAGGGAGGAATGGAGTTTTGACTCCTTGTTGGATATTGTTATTTTGAGCTGGCTTTGCCTATGCTCTTATTCCGCTAGGGAATGGGTTTTTACCTTTTTCTCACGATTTTATCTCTCTCTCTCTTTTTCATGATTTTGAAATTTGGCTTTCTTAAATGTATGCGCTTTTTTACATTTCTTTTATGCATACAGGCTTTTTATTATCTGTCGGGGATGAAGAGATTTTCTTCTTTTTCTCTTTTCTTTTTGGCGATCCCCGAGGAGCTTGTTGGCTTCCTGGGGATCCAACTTTGATTTGATTTTTATAACGGAGTCTTGGCTCCTGGCTTTGTGAAGCTCTTTATTGAACTGGAGGATGGGAATTTTCTTGTTTTCCCTGTTTTGTAAATTTTTCTATAATGCTCTGCTTGGAGATATTTATTTGGCATTTTTTGTGGCCTCTATTGGGGAATGAAAGGTTTTTCTTTTCTTTCTTTTTTTGTTGAACCCCTGGGGATATGGAGATTTTGACTTCATATCTTCTTTGGTTTATCTTTGTGTAGTCCTTACTCTCCTTTGGGGAAGTGGCGGAGATTCTGGATGAGTGTGCTCGATGACTCATGTGGTGATGAAGTTGAGTCGTGAGGTAATCTTTTTATTTTTCCTCTAGAGTAGGCAAAGATCCGCTTGGGGATGATCAAGCCTTTCCGTTGGCTTTTTTATGTTGATGGCTTCCTTTTTCTTGGATGGAAGGATGGTGGTCGGAGCTTCGAGTGACTATGTTTGAAGACTCATGTGATGATGATGCTGAGTCGTGGAGTAATTTTTGTTTTGCCTCTGGAGTAGGCAAGGATCCGCTTGGGGATCATTGAGCCTTTCCGTTGGACTTTTCTTGTGTACCTTCGCTTATTGGGGTAGAAGGTTGGAGCTAGTTTCCTTGAAGCTCTTTATTCAGCTAAAATGGTTTTGATTTCGCCTTTTCTTTCGCGATTTTGATTTTTCTCACGAGTTATTTGAAATCTGGCTTTTTGATATATCACGTGTGCCTTTTTATTTTATTATAATAATTTTTGTACACGTGGGCTTTTGGAATGTAAACAGAAATAACAACTTTTTATTTATTACTTCCCCTTTTTCTCTTTTTTTCGAGTGATACATTCAAGCATTCTTAGACTGATAGAAAATATCTAAAAACCTCCTAATCATCTGCTTCTGGACTGGAGTGGGAGGATGGTGCTGGTGAAGGGATGCGGTGGAGCATGCGGCGCTGGAACCTTGCCTGAGTCTGGACCAAATTTTCTATTTGGCGGTCTGTCCTATCCTGCCTCATGGTCAGTTGACTGAACTGTTGTCGCATGAACTAGAATTGCCCTTCCATGTAGGCGTGCTCATCATCCATATGTCGGTATAAGCCGACAAAGTCTGGATCATATGATTGCTACTGGGATTCCGAAGTCGCAAGGATATCCTGTGGTGTGTCGAAATCACGCATATCTAGTGAAATTGAAATTATGGGGTTTAAGATAAACCCTGATCCTTGTCGACTAAGGATGTTCATGTGGACCAGTGTACCACCATTAATCGGTTCTGGTTGGAGGCTAGCTGGAAAGTCTTCTCCGTCAGTACATCCCCAATATTCAGCTAAAGGGGTGAGAAAGGGAGCCACCATGATAGCTCCTGTTGAGCCGCGAGTTCCAAAATTCTTTAAGGCTTTCATATAGGCATACCCTGGGTTGCATCGATGCCCCTGATGCATACAATAGACAATAAAAAGATCAGCCAGTGTTACCTTTCCTTGGCTTTCCTTCCGGCCATGTATGGTCCCGGCTAGCAATTTGTGACATATGCGGAGCGGAGGAGAAAAAGCTTCACCCTTCAGATGTGACGGTAGGGTATGTGCTCCGGTGATTTCTTTCCACATGCTGGTGGTAGTGAGAGCAGCGGGTTTCTCACAGTATGCAGACTTATATTATGGCGTTCTCGTAGCCGTTCGTTGGTAGAAACCCATTATGACATTGAAGTCATCCAGAAAGGTGGTCCGGTATGCCCCATCCATCCAATAGGAAACAACTTGAGTAGGTGGCTCTCGGGGGTCGTGGACGGCATCTCCACCAGATTGACAGAGGCAAGGAACTCCAGCGTGGCAGTGTGATGGATTCAAGAGGGTGGCTTACAAAGCAGAAAATCCCATCCTTTGTTTTGGATGAACCGTCTAACATCTTGATCCCAGCCAAATGTAGTTAGGATTTCAAAATCCAGAGATAGCATGGGATGCCAGGAATATTGTTGAATGTTTGCCAACCTCTGTTGATGTGATTCTGCCAGCAAGGTGTTGGTGACGGGAGTTCCTCTAGTGAAGGTCCGGGTGCGTTTTCTCCTAGATGAAGCCTCTCCACGCTCCATTTTGTGCCTTACTCAAGAACGCTAGAAAATGTGTAGAAAGGGAGGAGAAACAAGATAGAATGCTTGAAATGGGGTGCAAATGCAAGGATCCGTGCCTAGCATTTATAGGAGGAGTCAGGAAGGTCGGGACGGTCGTCTGGGGTTGGGACGGCCATCTCACTCAAAATTTTACCCTTGGGACGGCTGTCTGGGAAGTGGGACGGCCGTCTCAGTCAAATTTTTGCCCTGAGACAGGCGTCTCAAATGTGGGACGGGCGTCCCATTTGAATTTTGCTATTTGGGACGGCCGTCTCGACCCTTGGGACGACTGTCTCGAGCTTTTTAAGTTAATTTTCATGTTTTTTTGATGAGAAGGAAGATAGGACTCCATTCATTGATGTTTTAATGCATGTAATGTTTCATGATATGCGTCTTATGATCTATTTCAATTAGTATTTTGAAAGTTTTAACTGATGTGCTTTGACTTTGGGCACATTCTTGGTGTAGTACCTTTTTGTCATCATGTTTCTTGATCAACAAGCTTAGCTGTACTTATTTGTCGTATCAGACTTTTCTTGCTATAGCCGAAGAGAAATCTTTTGTGCGTAGGGCAACTGCCATATCAATGCCTCCCTTCCTTTCCTTAGGGATCTCAACCTTCCTATTGATCACTATGTTTCCACATTCCCCCTTATTACTTGAATGCTTTATAGTGAAATGGTCAAGAGAAGAGAAAGAAAAGGATTTATAACAAGGGCTTGTGTTTTAGAGGGATATATTTTGTAATAGAGGTTTTTGTAAGAATGGCTAGCCAAGGTTGATCGGTGTTTAGGCTAGTTTAGACAAACGTTTTGTTCTTATGATGTGGCGTCTTTATTTATTGCTTTATGGCGCCTTTTTGGGATTGATTAACTTTCCTAGCCCGCCCTTTCAGGTTTTCAGTCCAGGATGTTGTGCTTATGTCCTAACTTTTGTCTAGGTTTCCTTTTTGTATTATTTTTAGGAATACCTAGAAGACTTTTCATAACCCTAACTTTTTCCCAGGCTACCCTTTATTATTGTTCGGGTCTCCTGCCGGGTTTACCCTATCTTTTGTACAACCCCCTTTGTGGGTTTCCTGTCGGGTATTTTGCCCTTTTATTCTCTTGTCTTGGCCTTTGGCCTTAACGGGCTCCTATTTTTTTTTTATATTTTTTTTTGCACAACATTGTCGAAACTTGGTTCTATCGAGATAGATCTTATTCGTTTTTCTAGTTAATCAATCATATTTGACTTTGCTTTGTGACGCTTTTGATTGTTCTGACGCATTTGGAACAAAACGTCTATCTAAACATTGTTTATTTAAAATGGGGTATATATATATTTAGCAAGAAGAGAAGCAGATAGTAAGAATAACATTCTTTTGTAATTTTGGGGAAATGTGTGCCCTAGAGATGCTCAGGGATCGGGCCTACCCCGAGGAGTGATCTCTAATAGTCATTAGGTTTACATCCCTTAGAATTGGAAGAAGGACACCTAATGACTAAAGCTACCCTTTGCGCTAATTCCCCTCCTTTTCAGAATATCATCTGAGGGGTAAGACTTCCCTGTTTTCCGTATAGTTTGATATTTTGTAGGGTTGTACCCTAAACCATGTTAGAATCGCGCAGCGAAATGTTTGCATGGTCGGACAAAAACCAAGAGGGGGGGGTGATTTGGTTTCTTAACAAAAATTAGGTTTTCAAAATTTTCTCCAAATTTTACTGATTAAAAAGCTATGTAAACGTAAATAAGATAGAGATAGAGTCTTACACAGGAGATTTATACTGGTTCGGATCAAAAGACCCTACGTCCAGTTGCTAATCACTCAAACAGAGGATTAACACTGTCACTATAATCAAAGTTGTTACAAACAAATAACAATTGAAAATACAAAGTAAAGAAAACACCTCTCTTGAAATCCACAAGAGATGAAGAACAGCTTTCGCACAACACACAATCCACTAAGAACTCCACTTAGTGATTCTTATCGCCTCTAGCCCACACCAGGTTCCAAAAGCTCGTTTTTCCTCCAACAAACAGTTCTCTGGCACTCACAAAACTTAACTTTTGTTTGAAAAAGGTTGTTCTTAATTTTTGAGTGCCATAGAGAAGCTTAAGTAGAGAAATTAGGGTTTGGGAATTGGGATTCTCGGAACTAGGAGTCTTGGGAATAGGGTTTTCGAAAATAGGGTTGATTTGAAGTTGAAAATCAAAATCTGACTGAAATAATCGATTAAATGAAGTGTTAATCGATTATTACAGAGCCAAAATCAACAGAACCCCAAAACTCTCTGTTTTAATCGATTAACAGGTGTGTTAATCGATTAAACCAGTGAGCAGATATAGAAAATGTTTTTTCTCGCTGTTTTAATCGATTATTTCACCATTTAATCGATTAAAGCCGAGGCACTTTGATAAAATTGATCTTTTTGAAGCTTCTAAGGTGCAGACTATGTACCGGCTATCTCAAACTCTAATATTACAGACTCAATCTAATCAAAACAGAGTTATTACACAGTAAAACAAGTCTTCAACTCTCTAAGTCTTGTGTTCTTGAATCATCATCAAAATCAACAAGCTTCATGTCCATGTACGTTCAACATCAAGTCCTTGAATGTTCAACAATCTCCCCCTTTTTTATGATGATCAAAATTTTCTTTTAAAGCCTTGTAATAATCTGTTTTATCTGTCATACTAACAAACACATTAAACATACCAGATAATATTTAAAATCAATCATAGTAGGCTTTAAATATTTCTCCCCCTATTTTGATTATAATAAAAAAAGAATTCTTCAATAACAATCATAAGGGCTCCCCCTCAAAATATGCATAATTTGGAGATAACTTCCCCTCAATCAAAGCAATAAAAGAACACCACATTTTATTTCAGAAATCAAAATACATTACAAATTAAAAAAAAAATTAAAATTCTTCACTATCATCACTATGAAAGTGTGCATCAAATCTATTTTCTAAATGACACACTTTATCATCTACATCAGATATACGGCGAATTTTTTCCTCATGCCGTACTCCAGAAAGAGTGAAGAATGCCTGCATCCTCTGATTCATATCAGATAACATGTCTTCCATAGAATGTCGAGTTTCATGATGAGTAGAGGAAGTTCCAACACTTTGGATTTGATCAGAGGGAAACTCAGCAGCAGGAGGCATATCTTCATCAGAATCTGCATTATTGTCACCTTCGTTTGGAACGTCATCCTTGTGAACATAAATATCGTTGACACGCACCATTTGAAGTTGGATTAATGTGCTGTCCAGCATGCGATTTAAGTTATTCGTTCGTACTGTTTGTTCACCTTCGACATTTACTCCTTTGTATTCAAGAATGCGAGAGACAAGGAGGGCATATGGAATTTTGAAGGTGGGATGGCGTTTGGCTTTTAACATTGTCATGGTGACAAGAACGCCCCAATCTAAAGGCTCATTATTCATTATGGCATGAATAATACGAAGATCAATTGAAGAACATTGAGCATGATTCGTAGCCCGGGGACATAGGATCCAGACAAGTAGATGTAAAATCATGCGTTCCTCCTTCTTCAAAGGTCCAGCAAGAAGGAGACGCCCTATTTCCATGGAAGGGTTTCGCAGAAAAGAGCGGTAAGCCATGATCCTGTATAAATCATCTAACTCACCATACACGTTAATAGCATCTTCTCTAATAGGAAAATGGGCAACGTTCTCCCAAATATCATCATCAAGAATAATTGTTACCCCCTTTACACGAGAGGTAGCAATTTGATCTCTAAATTTGAACCTAGAGTAAAATACCCTAACTAAGTCAGGATAATACGTACCTTGCATTTGGATGAAAGGGATAACTCCTTGAATTTCAAGGAGATTAGGAAAGTTGAATCCCCTATTGATGAACTGATAACCAATAAGGAACTTAGGAGAAATAATACCACGTTCCTTCCAATAAGACAAAAATTCTTGTCGGCCATCTGCATCAGAGATCCATCCTTCTACAGAATTAGGACGAGGATGAGATGAAGGTGCAGGTCTTCTTCTAGTGGGGATTTTTGCACGAGAAGATGAGGCCATTGAAGGATTAGAAGAGTAACAAGAAGATTTAAGAGGACAAGTTAAGTGGGAAGAAGACAAGATTGATAGAATAAGGCAAGAAAGCTTGAATGCAAGAGATAGAAGTGAGTAGAAGTGAAATGGAGGTCCCTATTTATAACCATGCATCTCCAACAGTCATATGAAAGTGAATAAGGGTCAAAAGAGTCGTTGGCAACGGCTAGGAATCCAAACTTGCCAGGTTTAATCGATTAAACCAATGCCAGACCCATTTAATCGATTAATTTGAGTTGTTAATCGATTAATACTGATTTTAATCAATTAATAGGCGAATCAATCGATTAATCCAGAGAGGAATGTCATGTTTTGGGTGTTTTGGATGCAAATAATCGATTATAACTCCAATTAATCGATTATTCCAGAGAGTACAACAAAATTTTGAGGTTTATACACATGATAATCTATTAACATCCTGTATAATGAATTATATCCTTACAATCATCCAAAAACTGTCTAATAAAGCAGAATTTAAGCTATTTCTAATATCCCTAAGTCTCTTCTAAGATCATAATATATACCTTCCTCCTGACAATAGCCTTTGGCAACAAGTCTGGCTTTATTCTTTGTTATGTTTCCATCTTCATCAAGTTTATTTCTAAACACCCATTTGGTTCCAATAACTTGATGTGATTCTTCTCTTGGGATTAATTCCCAAACTTGATTCCTTTCAAATTGGTTAAGTTCTTCTTGCATTGCTATGCACCATTGGTCATCTTTAAGCGCTTCCTCAACATTTTTGGGTTCTATCTGTGACACAAAAGCTACAGACATGCAGAAATTAGTCATATTTCTAGTTCTTACCCCTTTTGAGATATCACCAATGATATTTTCCATTGAGAGTCCTCTAGGTGATTGCCATTCTTTTTCTAATTTAGGCTTTTGAGAAGGCTCATTTTCTTCCAAATACAATTCATCAAGAGCCTCTCTTATATATTCATCATCACCTGCAAGTTCTTTATTTGACTCAAGAGGATTTCCCCCAAGGTCTACAATCTCATCAAAAGTAACATGAATAGATTCTTCAATATTTAAGGTTCTTTTATTAAACACCCTGTAAGCCTTGCTAGTTAATGAATAACCTAAGAAAATGCCCTCATCGGCTTTTGAGTCAAATTTTCCTAAGTTGTCCTTTCCATTATTTAACACAAAGCACTTACATCCAAATATTTTTAAATGAGAAACATTAGGCTTTCTACCATTTAACAATTCATAGGGA